TTTTTTTGTTTGTGTGTGTGTGTGTGTGTGTGTGTGTGTGTGTGTGAAGCTCTTTATTTCACCAATTTTGAATGATAGCCTTGCTGGATAGAGTAATCTTGGATTCAGATCCTTGTTTTTTTATGACCTTCATTACTTCATGCCATTTCCTTCTGGCCTGTAGTGTTTCTGTTGAGAAGTCAGCTGATTATCTTATGGGGGTTCCTTGGTAGGTAACCAGTTGCTTAACTCTTGCTGCCTTTAGGATTCTATCCTTGTCTTTAATTTTTGGTATTTTAATTATTATGTGTCTTGGTGTGGGCCTCTTTAGGTTCTTCTTACTTGGGCTCTCTGTGCTTTTTGAACTTGTATGCCTTTTTCCTTCACCAAGTTAGGGAAGTTTTCTGTCACTATTTCTTTAAATATATTTTCTAACCCTTGCTCATTTTCTTCTTCTGGAACTCCAATGATATGGATATTGTTATGTTTCATTTTGTTCCACAGTTCTCTTAAGTTGTCTTCCCGTTTTTTAATTGTTTTTTCTTTTTGGTTCTCTGATTCGGTGATTTTTTTCTCCCCTGTCTTATAATTCAGTGACCAGATCCTTAGTTTCCTCTACTCTGCTGATTATTCCTTCAAATGTGTTCTTTATTTCTACTATGTCATTCTTCATTTCCAATTGGTGGTTTTTCATTTCCAATTGGTTGACTTTCATTGTTTCTATATCTTTACTCATGCTGTTGAGCTCTTTATTCACACTGTCGAGCTTCCTCATTATCATTACTCTAAACTCTACCTCTGATAACTTGCTTAATTGCATTTCATTTATCTCTTCTTCTGTAGAATTCTCTTGTTCTTTCATTTGGGATTTGTTTCTTTGTTTCACTATTTTGGCTGTCTCAGTGGGTTTTGGAGCCTGCCAAATTTTCCATAGGGGTGTTGGTGTTCCACTGATTGGGGCTCCCTCTACTGGGTTTGAATGAGTGTGGGAGAACCCACGTTAAACACCACTGACAAGTCTTATTTTCCTGGGTAGATTTGCAGGCCAATCAAAGGTTCAGTTTTCCTCTAGCTTTTGCCTGCTGGTTATTAGTCTCAGTTACTTGATGAGCCTTGAGTTGTAGCCCTCAACTGAATGAAAAAATCCCTCAGGTGTTCAGGGTATGAGCATTTCCAGCAGGTGGGGCAGATGCCTACTGGCCTTCTCTAGCTGTTAATGAGCCTCAATTTGCATTTCTCTGGTCTGGCTGGGTGGTATTAAATTCTTGGAGGAGGGGCCATTGCTTCTCCCAGGGGCTCTGGGAAGGGGCTCTTTGAGTAAGATGGCTATTGTCCTATAAGAAGCAATTCAGTGTAAAAGTCCCAGTGCCCTCCCAGCTCTCCACACTCCCGAGTCTCTCCACACAGTTCCAGTCCAATCTGCCCTACCTCTGCCAGGGCCCAAGGTGAGTGGCTGTAGCTAATTTAGTGCTCTGTCCCAGCACTCTATGCTGTGGAGGCAGCTTCGGATTTTAACCCTGAGGGAACTGCTCACAGCTAAAACAACCCTCAGCCCTGGACAGTTTGGCTCAGCAGTTAGAGCGTTGGCCTGTGGACCAGTGAGTCATGGGTTCGATTCCAGTCAAGGGTACATACCTCGGTTGCAGTTCATCCCAGGCCTTGGTCGGGTCTGTGGCAGGCAACCAGTCGATGTGGCTTCTATTACATTGATGTTTCTCTCTGCCACTCTCTCTCTCTCTCTCCCCCGCTCCCACTCTATCTAATGATACATAGAGAAATATCCTCAGGAGAGGAATAAAAAAATAAATACAAAAATAAAACAGCCCTCAGCTGCTGTCCATGGGCTTCCAGCCTGCCCTCATGTGCCTCCGCAGATCCTACCAGGCTCGATTTGGTGTCCTCTTTCCATCCCTGGTTATATAGGTTCTCTCCAACTGCTTTTCTGTTGGTTTTTCCCAATGATTTGTCTTCATTTTAGTTGTAATTCCAGTTTGGTCCTGGAAGATGGTCTGTGTAGCTTCCATTCACTCTGTGGCCAATTTTAGATCCTCTACACCCAAGATTTTTTTTGAGGAGACTGGTCTGAAAGGCATCTTTTGGCTAGCATATACCCTAACTCCAGACATCCAGGAGGAAAGCAGGTATTCAGAACAAAACATACTGTTTGTGCAAACACTCTAGGCACAATAAACCTCTGCTATCAATTATCTGGGTTTTCCTTGGATGCTGGCAAGTCCACGAGTCTTGCACCCCTGCATGCCAGTCCATGCTAGCCACCTCTCCAGAAGCCCTTCTCCTGCCTACTCCCCCAAGCACATGAGGGCAGTGGGCACGTGATCTTGTGCTAATTTTACTAGTCCAGCCATAGAATTAAAGGTAGAGGAAGAAAAATTTCCCACTCCCTGACACATAATAACTCAAAAATTTTGTTTCTACCTTTTAAAAAAACTGAAGCACAGATTAAATTACTTGCTCAAGATCACAAACTGAGACTCTAATCTAGTCAGCCTTGCCCCAAGTCTGGCCTCTCAGCTTCTGTGCTTACACTACCTCTTATTCCAAGGATCAATGTTTGTGAGGTACTAGTACCTGGAGTGGGGGGTGGGGAGGAGACAGGAGGCATAGCAAAGATTAACAAATAAATATATGTGAAGCACTTAAAATTGTGTCTGGCATATAGTAACAATTAAGTAAGTATTAACTATTATAGACCACATGTTCCACAGAAAATCATTTTGCTATGTGGTGGGCGGGGAGAGGAGAGGTTAGATCAAATAAGTTTGAGAAACCCTGAGTAAAAAGAAGTTAAAAGGATGGTCCTTTTTTTTTTTATCCTCACCTGAGGACAGTTTTTTGGCATTTATCTTCAGATAGAGGGGGAGGGAGAGGGGGAGGAAGAGAGAGAGAGAAACATCAATGTGAGAAAGACACATTGAGTAGCTGCCACCCACATGACCCCAACCAGGGCCAAGGACAAACTGCAACCGTAGTACGTGCCCTTAGCCAGAACCAAACCTAGGACTCTCTGGTCCATAGGCTGACGCTCTAACCACTGAGCAAAACTGGCCAGGGCTAAACATGGTTCTTTATGCAGAATGCCTTAGTGTCTTTAATATGTTAATGCCCATTTCCAAGAAAGGAATACAGTATGGAGCATTTTTCAATCTTAATTGATCACTGAATGCTTTTAAAAATAATAATAATAACTTGAGGGACTGATATTCTGTGGAATAAACTTTGGGAGTCCCTGATTTGAATGAACAGGTCCTCTATAATAAGGCAACTTTTTTTTTTTTAAATAAGGCAACATTTTACTTCAATAGACAGGAAAAGAGTCAAACAATAAATCTATTTTCTCAATAAACACAATGTTCCCTTTCAAACATTTGTTATCAGTCAGCCTAACAAATAGTCTTTTTGAAGTTTGCTAACATAAGACTGACAGTTCTATCTCTGTCCCTTCTTCATATTTCAAACACACAGTAAAAAATGACTAAGTTTAAGAAAAGATTTTGTAAATGTGTATCTAATAAAAACACATGTCACAAAGACTTCACAAATGGTCTGGATTATAACTAAAATCAACTCAAATATTAAATATTTAAAACACACCCTGGCAGGCTATACTGGGTTACAGCCACTGCTGCTGCCATCAGTGCTAACCCCTTGGTCTCAAAGAGTCCAGGTGACACCCCAGATTGGGAGACAAGCCAATTTGGGAGCAGAGTGGATCCAGCTTTATTCAACATTACTACCAGTTACCTGATAGTGAAAGAACCCAACTAGGTGCAATTTACATTGAGGTGGTCATGCCTTACGTAGGAAGGACAGCAATTCCAGGGGAAAGCTGCCATTGTAGAGAAGTTGTATAGCCATTGGTTCTAGAAAATCCAGCCCAGCATCACAGTGCAGGACCATCAGCTCACACCACATACCTGCATCTTCAACATGGTTATGGGCCAGCTTAAGGCCTATGAAGACCATAATGAGGTTCCACCAGATGTTTCTACTAAAGAACATCAACGATGCTTAGGTTTACACCAATGACTTTTTTAGGCTTGCCCTGAACAACTTTAGCCAACTTCCTCCCAGCCAGGCACTCATGCTGTTTTCTCCTTCCTTCTCTTCGGGATACTATTCACACTCCTCTAGATGCTCCAAATATCACACACAAATGAGCAGAGCCACAGTGTGGGAGGGCGCAGTGTGCATGATGTTTGGATGCCAGACTAGTTACATTTAACAGGAGAAGTTTGTGTTGTACCAGTGCGTGCCTGGGAAAGACTTAAGTAATGCAAAATGTTTTTTGTTTGTTTTTTTTAATCTACTGATAAGTTGCTCTATCAACCAAACAAAGTGAAAAAGAAAGCAGCTACCTCATGGCCCAGATACTGATTTGTTCAGATATTTCAATGCTTCATGATACAACAGAACCAATCCACAAAAATTTTCTTTTTTTAAAAGAAATATATTTTTATTGATTTTTTTAGAGGGAGAGGAAGGAAGCGAGAGATAGAAACCTCAATGTGAAAGAGATACACTGATCAGCTGCCTCCTGCACACCCTTTACTGGGGATCGAACCAGCACATCTCAGTCCATGGGATGACGCTCAATCCACTTAGCCACACCAGCCTGGCCACAAAAATGTTCTTAACAGTTTAGGTAAATAAATAAATAATAAAACATATCCTAAAAGGTAAACTATTCGAACTTAACACAAACATTGTAACTCTACTAAAAACAAAAGGTAGGTCAACATATCATTTTTTTAAATTCCCTTCTAACTCTTGTATATATTCATATATGACTTGTGATCATAGTTCTAATCATCATATAGATATGCTTTAAAAAAATATAAACATTTAGATACAATTCAAGACAGGAAATTGCAATTAGATTCTATCCTGGATACATATATTGTCTACGTTCTGAAAGATACTAACACTTTTACACAACCAAACAGTCCCTAAGACTTTTATAAATAAATCATCAAATCAAAAAGTAACATCTATGTACCTACCCATTAGAAATGAAAAAAACTCAGCCCTGGCCGGTTTGGCTCAGCGGTTGGAGTGTCGGCCTGCGGTACAGAGAAATGAAAAAAACTCAGAACACCGACACACCAAATGCTGGCAAGGATGTGGAACAACATGAACTCTCATTCACTGCTGGTGGAAATGCAAAATAGTAACACTTCTTTGGAAGACAGTTTAGTGGTTCCTCGCAAACTAAACATACCCTTACCACAGGACCCAGCAATTTTGCTCCCTGGTATTTACCCAAATGAGTTGAAAACTTATGTTCACACAAAAACCTGCACATGGATGTTTTACGGTAGTTTAATTCATATTTGCCAAAAGTTGGAAGCAACCAAGAAGTTCCTCGGTTGGTAAATGGATAAACTATGGTATATCCAGACAACGAATATTATTCAGTACTAAAAAGAAATGAGCTATCAAGCCATGAAAAAACATGGAGGAACCTTAAATGAATATTACTAAGTGCAAGAAGCTAATCTGAAAAGGCTACACACTCTATGATTCCAATTATACGACATTTTGGAAAAGGCAAAACATAAAGACAATAAAAAGATCAGTGGTTGCCAAGGGAGAAGGGGAAAGGAGAGATGAATAGATGAAACACAGAGTATTTTTAAGTCACTGAAACCATTCTGTATTATACTACAATGCTAGATACACGTCATTGCACATTTTTTTCAAAACCCACAATATGTACAACACAAAGAGTGAGCCGTAACATAAACTAAGGTCTATTACAACAAATGTACCTCTGGACCAGGATGTTGAGAATGAGGGAGGCTGTGCATATGTGGAAGCAGGGAGTATATGAGAACTCTGTACTTTTCTACTCAATTTTGCTGTGAACTTAAAATACCCTAAAAAATTAAGTCCATTTACATTTTTAAAAAGGTAACTGTAATGTGTTTCAATGATCTTAGTTACTATGAAGAAAATTAAATGCATGTTTTCATATCAGGAGACATACATAATCAAAAAAAATTTTTCCAGACATTTATTTATCTTTTTAATCCTCACCCAAGGATATTTATTTTTCCATTTATCTTCAGACTGAGTGAAAAAGAGGGAGGGAGGGACGGAGGGGGAGAGAGAGAGACATTGATGTGAGAGAGACACATCGACTGGTTGCCTCCCACAAGACCCCAACAGGGACTGAACCACATCTGAGGTACATGCACTTGGCTGGATTCGAACAAGCAAATCCTTGGTCCGTGAGCCAATGCTCTAACTGATGAGCCAAACTGGCCAGGGCCAGACATTTATTTTGTAAAGGGAGCATAAGACAGAGTTGTTTTCCATTGTTACCTACCTCTTCAGAAAGTCAAAAGTCAGGAACAGCCAGCACCACAGTTTAAATACACATCCAGCTCCTGTTCTGTTTACTGCTTGCTCTCTCTGTGTAAAAAACTATTTGGATTTGGTAGATTTCAGAATAAGAGCATTCCACAAGTTTTTATTATGTGAATCTGAAAAATGTCACTCATTAGCTAAAAGATTCTGATGGCTATTAATTTCTCAAGAAGAAATTTATATACAAACTAAACAGTAAGCATAAAGATTAATTTTTCTCTTCAAACACATGGTATTACAACAATTTGGTATCATGAAGGCAAAAAATTTGCAGTGTGTTATGGACTGGGTATTCATGTGTTGAAGATCTAATCTCCCATCTGACGGTGTTAGTGCCTTTACAAAAGGAAACACCGGGGAGTTTGTCCCCTCCCTGAATGCATGCACAAAGGACAGATTATGTGAGTGCAGTGAGATGGCAGTTGCCTGAAAGCCAAGAGAAAAGGACTCAGAGTGAAACCTACCTTGCTGGCACCTTGATCTTAGAGACTTCCCGGTTTCCAGAACTGTGAGAAATAAGTTTCTGTTGTTCGAGTCTCTCAGTCTATGGTCTTTTGTTATGGCAGCCCAAGCAAACTAAGACATAATGGAAACTAAAAGCAATTCTACTAGTTTGTCCCAATTAAAGCCTAATACAAACCATTAACTCATCAGGCCTATGCCATCCAGATTTAAACCCATTAATTTTTAAGTGAATTTGCTATTAAATGGATACAAATTCATAAATGGATAAGAAATAAAAGTGAAAGGCAATATACCAGTATTTTGTATTGTAGAAAAAGAAACTTTACAATTTAGGATCAATCTCCCATCTTGTGGATCATATCCGTTGCTTTGCTACCTTCTGCTGTACTTACATGACTATTTTGTTGTTTACTGAAAATCTGAGCTGACCAAGTAGTAACAAGATGTGATGGAATGCAAACTGATTAATTTTGACCCTTCTAAGCAATCTTAATGATTAAAAGGAAGCCTTATTGACACAAGTCAGGTGTTTTAAATGTTTTAAAATCTGAATGGCAATGTGAGTCAGTATAAAAGGGCAGATGTGCAGCAAAAATTAAGTTCTACAGGCAGAGAAACAATGGGGGCCAAAAGACACTACACTGAAATAAGTTTATATTGCCTCCTGCATTATGTGAGCACTTCCCATCAGAGAGAGATTTTGTATCCTTGGCTAAGTAAACCAGGAATTTAATCTAAGCTTACAATGGGTAAATGTGGATGAGTTACGTGGTCTTCTCACAAATAAATTTATCTACCTAAAACACTTCAGAGTTACATGGTTTGGTAACTACACTGAAATACTTCATGCTTCCAACTATTCCAGAAGTTCTCTTTCTAAATAGAAATCTGATTTTATGTCTCTTGTGCTATCAAAACCTTTAACTGGATCCTTGCTACCCACAGGATAAACTCCAATTTTCTTAGAAGATAATTCTTTTTTTTTTTTAATCCTCACCTGAGGACATTTTTGCATTTATCTTCAGATACAGCAGGAGGGAGAGAGGGCGGAAGAGAGAAAGAGAAACATCGATGTGAGAGAGACGCATTGAGTGGCTGCCACCTGCATGACCCCACTGGGGCTGGGGACAAACTGCAATGAAGGTGTGTGCCCTTAGCAGGAACCGAACCCAGGACTCTCTGGTCCATGGGCCGACGCTCTAACTGTTGAGCTAAACCAGCCAGGGCCTTAGTAGATAATTCTTGACAATCAGGTCCCCTTTATCATCTTGTATCTCACATGTTTGAAAGTGATCCTGCCAGTCCTTGAACTCAACACACATTTCCATTTTTTTTTAATCCTCACCCAAGGATACTTTCCCATTTATCTTCAGATATAGTGGGAGGGAGAGAGAAAGAAAGAGAAACATTGATGTGAGAGAGACACATCAATTGGCTGCCTCCCACATGACCCTGACCAGGACCAGGGACCGAACTGCAACCCGGAGTAACGTGCTCTTGACAGGAATCAAACCAGCGGCTCTTTGATCTGTGGGCTGAGGCTCCAACCACTGCGCCAAACCAGCCAGGGCCATGTTTCCATATTTACATGTATTTACATGTCTTAATGCTGTTCTCTACCTAGAACCCCTTATTCTGCTTGTGGAAATCTTATCTTCTAGACCCAATTTAAATGTTGTTATATCCTAATAATTGAAATTAATCACAACTCACTTATTGGGCTTTATATTTTGCTCTTAATTCAAAACATTTATATACATGTTCACCTCCCCCAGTAAAATACAGGCTCCTAGTGAAATACAGTGTCTTAATCATTTTATCCCCCCCCCATTTAACACAATACTTTGCACACAGTTTAATGAATATAGGAAGACTGCATACTTGTTTCATTAGCTGATGAAAATTAATACTCTAATTCTGCATCATCTATAATTCAGTTTATCCACCTAGACAGAAGAAAATTAATAATTTTTCCTAACCTGATGGACTGTTAAAAGGGTTTATAACTTACTGACAAAACAATCTTGACATATATTCTATAAAAACTGATATTTTCTAAAAATTAACACCTGAAAATCGATGGCATTTTTATACACCAATAATGAAACCTCAGAAAGAGAAACTAAAAAAAAAATCCCATTTACCATTGCAACGACAAATATACCAGGGAATAAATTTAACCAAGGAGGTAAAAGATCTATACTCAGAAAACTACAGGACATTGAAAAAGGAAAAACAGGAAAACACAAAAAAGTGAAAGGGTATACTGTGTTCATGCATTGGAAAAATCAACATCATTAAAATGTCCATACTACCCAGAGCAATCTACAGATTCAACACAATCCCTATTAAAATACCAACAGCATATTTCACAGTGCTAGAACAAAAGTTTATATGGAATCAGAAAGGACTCCAAATAGCCACAGCAGTCTTGAGAAAAAGAAACAAAGTTGTTGGGATCACAATACCAGATATCAAACTATACTACAAAGCCACTGTAATCAAAACAGCCTGGTACTGGTACAAGAGCAGGTATACAGACCAATGGAACAGAACAGAGACCCCAGAAATTGGCCCACACTGAAACGGCCAATTAATATTTGACAGAGGAAGTAAGAGCATACAATGGAGTAAAGATAGTCTATTCAATAAATGGTGTTGGGAAAATTGGACAGGTACATGCAAAAAAATGAAACTAGACCATGAACTTATACTATACACAAAAATAAACTCAAATGGATAAAAGGCTTAAAAGTAACTTACAAAACCATAAAAATCCTAAAAGAAAACAGGCAGTAAAATCTCAGACATCTCATGTAGCAGTATTTTCACCAATATATCACCTAGGGCAAGGGAAACAAATAAAAAAATTAACAAATGAGACTACATCAAACTAAAAGCTTCTGCACAGCAAAAGAAACCAGCATCAAATGAAAAGGGAACCCACTGTATGGGAGAACATATTTGCCAATGATACATCGGATAAGGGGTTAATTTCCAAATATATAAAGTACTCATAAAACTCAACAAAAGGAAGACAAACAATCCAATTAAAAAATGGGCAAAGGACCTGAATAAGCCCTTCTCCAAAGAGGACACAGAGATAACCAATAGACACATGAAAAAATATTCAACATCACTAATCATCAGAGAGATGTAAATTAACACTACACCTGCCAGAACGACTACCATCAATAAATCAACAAACAGAAGTGCTAGCTGGGATGTGGAGAAAAGAGAACCCTAATATACTGCTGGTGGGAATGCAGATAGTACAGCCACTGTGGAAAACAGTATGGAGGTTCCTCCAAAAATTTTAAATGGATCTGCTGTTTGACCCAGTGATCCTACTTCTGGGAATATATCCTAAGAAATCTGAAACACCAATCAGAAAGAATATATGCACCCCTATGTTCATAGCACCACTATTTACAATACCTAAGATCTGGAAACAGCCCAAGTGTCCATCAGTAGATGAGTAGATAAAAAAGCTGTGGTACATTTACACAATGGAATAGTATGCAGCTGTAAAAAAAAGATTTCTTATTTTTTGAGACACAATGGATGCACCTGGAAACTATTATGCTAATCGAAATAAACCATTTAGAGAAAGATAAATACCACATGATTTCACTTATAAGTGGAATCTAAATAACAAAATAAATTGACAAACAAAACAGGTCCAGAGGTATGGATACATGAAACAGAATAACAGATCTTGGAGAAGTGGGGACAGAAAGAGATTAACCAAAGAATATATATGCATATATGCACACCCACAGACACAGACAATAGCATGGGGAAGGCCTGGGGCGGGACAGAGGTTGGGTGTAAGGGGGCAAAAAGGGAGAAAGTGGGAGATATCTGTAATACCGTCAACAATAAGGTAAAATTAAAATGAAAGAATATTTTTAAGTGGTATTTTCTGTTTTTAAGTCCACTAATCAAGCCAGCTTTCAAATCTAAATATTCTGAATGCCTGAAAGAACATCCTAGTATCTGCTTTAGCAAAATCTCTTGAGGCTAGATATCTTGAAAACAATTTGCTGCTTCCCATATTACCCAAGTCTAATCACAAAACATAATATTAGGATCATATTAAATTACACTGTTATTCACCAAAAAGATCTACAATTTTAGCCACTCAGAACAAATTTACATGATAACCTGGAAATCGTACAAAGCAAAGTCAATACTGAGTCTATGAAGTTGATTCTTAATTGTTTACCTCCAAACAGATCTGTATCCCCATCTTAATCTTCTCCTACATAGGTAATATACAATCTTTGACCAGATGTCTATATATATCTCTGCAATTATACCACATTTGTTTATTTAAATCAAGTTCAAGTTTTAGTTAAGTACAATGAATAAGCTCTAGAGTGCTGCTGTACAACCTATAGTTAGCAATACTGTATTGTATACTTAAAATTTTAAGTTTTCTTATCACAATAAAACAATATTTAAAATACACAAAATAGGCTCTTTACTCAATGGAAGAGACCTACTAAGAAAATAGCTGAATTTTAAGGGAAAGTAGTATCCTCTTCACAAGGCAAAAACTAGAAACTTCTCAAATCCACCATCAAGAG